TTAATCTCCCCTCAGCAAGATTAGAGACCCCTGAGATCTCTCAGTGAGGCAGCTACAGTCTCCAACAGCCACAATTTAGCAGGAGGTGTATGAGAGAATTCTCTGTGGCTGCAGAGAATGAAATCAAGCCTCTGTTCTGTCCACTCCAAAACAAAGTATTTAGGAAAGGCAGACGAGGTAATGTCTACAGGGCTCTTTTGGTACAAAATCAATCATAACAAAACCAACCTTTTATATGTGAGCACAAAGTCTTGGTGAAGTAATCAAATTGTCTCAAGTTTGTCTGGTTTCCCCCAGTTTTAACATAGGAGGAACTATGTTCCAGAAACTACCCCCCACCCTGGGCAAACCAGGGCAAACCCCATGCTTGGGAAGTAAAGCCAGGCTTTCCTGAGAAGAGGAAGAGCCAGGCATGTACATCTGGGGCTGATCTCACTAACAAGCATACACAAGGCTACCAGCATAAGCTTAGCTACAGAGCTGGGCAGCCAGGCTACAGGCTCAGGGAGCCACAGTCAGTAGTTGGACAAGTACAAAGGCAGTGACCGTGCATGTGGGGCCTTCAGGGGATTCTCACCAGACCAGAATCACTGGGGGGTCCAAGGTCCACAGAGGAATCAGAGCTGCAGTTCATGGACATTGCATGGGATCAGGTGCCTCTGCTTTAAGCCACTGAGCTCTGGAGCCAGCACCTCTGACCACAGCTATTTGTGGCTGTATGTCCAAATCAACTGCAAGATTATAGTTCTTGGGCTAGGGTGAGCATTTGTAGTTTTCCTACTGGAGCTCTTAGGAAACCACATAGCAAATCCTCATGGCCTGACCTGGACCCCTCTCCTTGCCTCCCGAAAAGCTGTTTTTATCTTTTATTTTATACTTTTTGTTTTATGGTGTATAACAAGATATATGTCATACATATATGGAACAACCACTTGTTTTAACAAATGAATGAATAGCCTCCATCCCATGTAAGACACTGAATATCCTTTGTACTTTTTTATCGCTTTCTATCAGGTCACTTGCTGTCTTAAAGGCAACTAGCACACAAAGTTTGTCAACAATTCTCTTGCCCTCCTTTACAGTTTTATCCCACCTAGATATATCTATCCATAAAGGAGATATTATTTGTTTTTGTTTTGTTTTTGCCTTATCTTGAGCTTTCTGAGAAAGAAATAATCACCCTGTGTGTTTCTTCTGCAACTTAGTTTATTTCATGCATCCTTGGCAGTTTGATGTGGATAATAGCTGTGTTCTATTTTCACTGCTGTGTAGTATTTCATGCTCCTGGAATACTACGCAGGGATAGACAAGCATGATTCTTGAGCCTTGTTCTAGAGAAGGCATGCTGTGTTAGCAGACATAGACAAATTTTCTTGCCCGTCTCCATCAGAGCAACGGGTCTCAAAGGAAACCATGCTGTGAAGAGATATGTGGTCATCCAGGCCCTTTTCCTCCATTTATAGATCACAGGCAGAGTCAGTTTGGCCTAATTCTTAAGAACCCCAGGATTTCCAGAATGAGAAATAAGCACTGGCTTCAACTTAAACTCCCCAGCTGCATCAGCTCCTAACAAGAGAGGTTACCTGTCCTTTGAAGACAAACATGGACTTTTCCTCTCTAGCTATGGAAATCCTAAATGACATCTTTTATCAATATAAGACTACTTAGTCTACACTGAAAATCTGTTGACTAGTGTCAGTCCCTGGTCAGGTGATGACTCAGCTAGATCTTCTGCATAACCTGCTGCAGCTTCTACATAAACACTCACTACTTCACATTTATGCTATGGAGATGTCTTCTTTCCTTAAACCTTGTGAACCAGCATCTGCCAGCTTCAGACTTATCTTCTGCAGCCTCCTAGCCTGTGTGTCTTTTTTTTTTTTTTCCTGGATTTTCTTTTTTTATTTTTTATTTATTTATTTATTTATTTATTTATTTTAAAGATAAAAGGAGGGAAACATTAACAGACATACAACATTTTACAACATATCACAAGCACAATACAGACAATACAGAGTTACAAACAAAGTGGTAGGGAATTAACAATGGTGGTTGTATTACATATTGATATCTTCAAAGTTAGCCTGTGTGTCTTATAGAACTGCAGAGCTGGGGCCTGGCTCTGCTCCAGATTTTGGTGTAAGGGAATGTTGTGGCTGGTTGGATATTCTATCCAGATCACTGAACTTTCTTCATATTGATAACAAGGCTGCTTCATTTTTGTACCATTTGTGTGTTCACTGGACTGTCACTTTCTACTTCCTTCTAAACCCTTTCCTTTGTACTCACACCTTGACTAGCAAGCACAAGAGGGTTCACTTTCAGCCTTTCTTGGGTTTGAACCTGCCTTTCTTGACTTCCAACCTGCCTTCTCCTGCAGCTTAATCATGTCTAGCTTTTGATCTGAAGTGAGGGGTGTGAAACTCTTCCTTTCATGCAAATCCTTACAGACCATTCTAGGGTTACCAACTGGCCTAATTTTAATGTCGTGGTGTCTCAGGGCAGGCTATGGAAAGAGAATGAGAGAGACAGGGCAGTGGCCAGTCAGTGGAGCAGTCAGAACACACATTTAAGAGGCCAAGGCAGAAGAATTACAAGTTCAAGCCCAGCCCAGCAACTTAGTGATGTGGCAAGGTCTTATCTCAAAAAATAAAGGAGGCAGAGGATATAGCTCAGTGAAAAATCCCTGAGTTCAATCCTCAGTACTGCAAAACCAACCAAAACATCAGTAAAAAACCCCACCATCTTATATGGGCATAGTCATGGTGCCCTCCCCATATTTACGATATTAACACTGAAGATTGCTGGTCATAAATCACCATGAGAAGTATTATAATAATGAGAAAGTTTGGAATTTTGCAAGAATTACCAAAATGTGACCCAGAAACAGAAAGTGAGACTGCAGTTGGACAAAAGGCACCGGCAGATTTGCTCGACACAGAGCTGCCACAAACTTTCAATTTGTGAAATGTGCCACACGTTAGACACACCATAAAGCAAAGTGCAGTGAAGCAAGGGGGGCCTGCATGTACGTTTGAGCCCAGGGGGGGCATCTAAAGAGCTACAGAGAGCTGCGACACTTTCCTGTTGGGACGGTGCCAGCATCTATCTGGGGGAATTGATGGGTGTGCACCGGGGGTCAGAGAAAATTCTGGGTGATCCAGAGGAGTTCTAACCGTTTTCCTCCCTCACAGCCTCTCCTCTAAACAAGTTGGTCAGTTATTTAAGTACTTTGGACTTCTTCCCTAAGCTACTTGGCTTAGTCCCGATTATGTCACATATGTAATATGTATTTATTAATTGGTGCTGGAGGTGGAAACCAGGCCCTCGCGCATGCGCAGTAAGCACCGTTCCACTGCGTTGCACCCCAGCCCAGCACATACATATTTGGACTTATTTACTTGCCTAAGTAACACACTTAGCACATACCAAAATCACAAAACCCCCTGAAGATGGCGTCTTGTTTAGTCTGTTCCACCCCGATCCCTGTTCCTGTACTCATGGGTCCACACAACGCACCCAGGAATGTAACCACCTTTGAGACTTCCTTTGAACCGCGTGTGTAGCGGCTGCCCCCTGGTGGTTGCTCATCAGAGTGCAGTGCTCATGGAGCCTGTTCTCACCTCCAAGAACTGGGAAGGAGACTGCCACTTGCAAGCTCCTTCTTAAGTATTGTTGGCATTTCCAGCCTTTAAACATAACCCTAATATATAGCAATCCAAAAGAGGTGGCAAAAACAATAGAGAGAGAGGCAGTTTAGATAGATAGATGATAGATAGATAGATAGATAGATAGATAGATAGATATTTAATTAAAACAACTAGTTCTGGGTCCCATAAGAATCTAAAGACGCGTCTGTTCTGCAAGAGCAGCAAGTGAACCCAGGAGAGGTGTTGGCAGACTACAGCCCGAGGGCCACATCTGGCCACCCGTCTTTTTATTTTTTTATCAATACTGGGGATTGTACCCACAGCTACGCCTCCAGCTCCTTTTTAAATTTAATTTATGATACTGGGGATTGAACCCAGGTCCTTCACACTGAATTACATTCCCAGCCCTTTTTTATTTTTTATTTTGAGACAGGATCTTGCTAAGTTGCTAGGTTACCCAGGCTAGAGCCTCCTGACTCATCCTCCCACACTGTTGGGATTGCAAGTGTGAGCTACCATGCCTGGCTCACCCTCAGTCTTAAAAGTAGAGATTTACTGAAAAGTGTGATTTACATAGTTGCCTTCCCACTGCAATGGCTGAGGTAATCAGTTACAAAGCTTAGAATGTTTACAGTGTGGCCCTTTTCATAAAAAGTTTGCTCTCTCCTGGATGAGTGGTCCAGCTGAGACCCCTATGATGATAAGTTATTGTAGCTGGGAAAGATTTATGCTTGGATTGCATTTCTATTCTTTCATTCAGAAAATTGCTACATACTGTGATAGTTAACTGATTGTGTCAACTTGAGTAAGAAACACCCAACTAAATTGAATCGGCGTAGTTCTGGGTGTGGCTGAGGGAATTTATGGAAGATTTGCTGGGATTCACTGGGGGTGAGTGACAGCAACCAATGGGCCTGCTGCCTAAATGGTATAAAAGGAATACAGAGAAAGAGGGCTCACTTCTGTTTCTTTGGAGGAGCTCCAGTCTTCACTCTACCTTAAGTATCATCTCCTGGCTTCCAGCATAGACCCTTTGGCCTCCTGCCACTTGCACGGAACACTATGGTGAGCTCCAGGCCTTTCACTGGATCTTTCTGGTCTCCAACCCAAACACACCATTTGCCCTTTCCTGACTCTGTGGGCAGCCAATGGGAGCCAATCTCGGAAATTCTTATATATTTGCATATCTTGTATTGAACCTGTTTCTCTAGTAAGCACTGACTAATACACATACCTGCTATGTGCCACGTGTTATTTTGGAACAGAAAAGATTCTTGATATTTCTAAACTTGGGGAGCTCTAGCATTTCCAGTTAAGATGACAAATAAAACTAATTACAATATTTTATACCTCAGACAGCATCCCGCTTCTGTTTGTTTGTTTGCTTGTTTTTCGCATCCATTCCTGAGCCCACCATCCAGACCGAAGTTTGGTCATTTGGCACAGATGCCTCCTGGGTGCTGGACTAAAATCATCACTGATCGACCTCCACTTTCACCTCTGCCACTTGATGACCTGGGAGCCACGCCAGTGTTCCACACAGAATATGGCAGAATCCCAGCTGGGAGGTCCAGGTGAGAGGAGGCAGAGGAAGAGTGTACTGGTGAGCCCCTCCTCCCTGTAAACCCCATGCTCTGCTTGGTCAGGCCAAGACCTCTGTAAGGAAAGCAGCCCGGTTAGTGTCATGGGTAAGAGAAGCAAAAGTTTGTGAAGTTCAAGTGTATCCTTGGAAGAATATTCAATGCACGTTCCTTTAGCAGCCACATGCGGAGCAAAGCGGAGCATCCTGCTTGGTAAACACTACCTCGGTTTAAGTGTGGACTGCTTGGTCCCAGATCCGTGCCAGGCCCTGTGCCTGAAGCCCCTGACACTGGGTGCTAGAGCTGCATGTGAGCACACATCCACCAAAAATAACAAAGTTAGAAATTAAATGAGGCCATGGAAACACTTTGGTTCCATTTCCCCAGAAAGAAGTCTGTTTTAAACATTTGGATAAAGAGGTTAAAAAAAAAAAAAAAAGCACCAAGAGAAAACACAAAACCATTAACTTTTACCACTAGAAATGAAATTCCCGCAGTACTCCTTGCTCAGGCTTCTCAAAACACCCGGAAGCAACATTTCTGCTCTCACCTCTGCTCTCCCAGTGTAGAGTCAGAGCATCTGTTGACTGAATTCTCAGTTCAGGTTCATTCAGCAGTGGTTGGTCTTGCCTAGGGTCATGCTCCCTCCCTATTCAAAGTAATAATAATAAAAGATTCTGAAAGATCTTGATTAAACAGTGAACATGTATAGGCCAAACCAGAGTGACAGAGACAAAGCGCTGTAGGAAACCACCTGTAACACACCCATCCACACCCTCCATCTCTCCCTCAAGGAAAAGTAGCTCCGTATTACTAAAGTAAACAATTAGTGGACACCCTGTGGAACACAACACGTTAAAACCTCCTGGCATCGCCAAGACAGACAACAAACCTTTCTGTCCTCCTTAGCAGGGTGCTGGGTGTAAGGTAAGCTTTGCTTGGTGGCTTGGCTGTCATTATACACAACAATTGCACTGTGTTGTAATACTCCTGACCTCAGGGCCTCACCCTGGAGGGACATCAGCCCCTGCCTGAGGTAGCCCCAGAATATTATCTTTCAATTTTTATGTTTGCATTTCTGTGTTTTCTATGTCTACCTTATAACTGTTTTGGAGTGTGTGTCCCTCCAGGGATCTGTCCTGCATCGGGACCTCAGGAGACTCTGCAGCCTTTGCCTGGAAATGGAAGGACCTCTTGAGCTACTGGGAGACAGGTGCTCCAGCTCTGCACAGGGGAAAGCAGATCAGGAGACAGTGGGGGTATCACATGTGCAGAGGGGCAGGAGAAGTGGGTAAGGGCAGAGGAGGGATTTACTAAATTCACCTTATAAGCAGATATCTTAGCAGTTGGCCAAAACAGCAGGCCGTCTGATGTGGACAGGGCACAGAGGTGACTCTTTGAGCATGCGCCACACACATCTTGCGGTGTATGGTGCATACCACAGTCAGGAGGACATCAGGATCTCTGGAACCTGGCTTTCTCCTAGGACCTGCGGTGCTGCCTCTTCAAGCTAGGACATAGACGTAGGGGACCAAAACAGAGTAGGTGGCTTCCACATCCCTGCTTGTGTGTCAAGGACCCAGTTCCTGATGCCATCTCTATGAATGTCATGTTTCTATCCAGATGCTAAGTCTCATCACTGGGGACCTAACTGGAGAAATATCCTTGCTTCTCTAAGCTTCAGGTCCTAGAGAACAGACTCGGGGCTGTTAGCATCCCAGCCAGAAAAGAGATGGAAGGCTACAGGGCGGAGCGGGGAGGAGATGGGACTCACAGTGAGTAAGCAATGGATAAGCACAGGGCTCTGGAGCCAAGCAGTGGGGATGTGGGATCAACGCAGAATGTGACCTGGGGAAAATTGCTGAGATGCAGCACCGCAGCTTCCTCCCACCCGAATAATGACAGAAATAAAAGTCTGGTGTGGGGTGTGAATGAGTCACCAAGAGGAATGGACTGGCCTCAGTTTGTGTCTGTCTCTGTGTGCCATCCGGAACCCACGCTCAGGACCCTCTGCACCCAGAGGGCCTCTGCAAGCGCTGTGGCACCAGGACCTGCTTCGTGGTCTTGCTTTCATCATCAGCCTTGTGAGCAGGACTGTGACCCCTCCCATGTCCTCATCTCCCCCTCACCTCTTCCACCACTGGTACATCTGGTGCATTTTTTCCTTTCTAAGATAGATGTGGTGTACACAGACTGGACGGCATGACTTTTAGGGCACACAGGGTGGTTTTTCATATTTGTTTGGCCCAAGTGACCGGGTCAAGACAAGGAATTTTGTATTTTTACTTCCCTGAAGGTGGGTCTCGTTTCCTTCCACATCAGTTTCCCTACCCACACCGCTCACTGCTGGGGATGCTCACCTTTCTATCTTCTGTTATAAGAAATTTCTCCTGCCCAGCAACTCACACAGGTGGAATCAGGCAGGGTATGTGCTCTCAGTCTCAGGTCTGGCTTCCTACACTAGACATTGTGTATTCAAGGTCCATCCATGCTGTTGTATGTAGCAATCTTTCACTTGCTGGTCTTTTTTCCTTGCTGCAATGCTGTATTCGGGGTCTCTAGAGGAACAGAATCAACATAATAAAGGAATTCATTAGATAAGGTGACAGGATCAAAAACAGAAGAGTTCCACTGGCCATCTGGGGGATTAGAGGCTGAAGAATCAAAACTGGCTGGCTGTGCGCCACACAGAGGTTCCAGTAGCAAGGCTGAAGGCCTGGAAGCTCGCTGTTGAATCACCAGGCTGAGTCTGTATCAGAAGCCTGAGGAGCCTGCTCTGGAATGCTGAAAAAATATCCAAAGGCAATGGCAAAGAAGGGAGCTCCTCCAAAAAAGAGAAACACTGCCTTCTTTTCCTTTTTATTCTACCCAAGCTACAAGCCTGTTGGTTGGTTCTAGCCACATCTGGATGGGTCTTCCCCCATCAGTGCACTGGCCTACATGTCAGTCATCCACAGACACCCAGAATTTACTAATCAGCGAGGCTGGTCTTGCTCAAATCAAGTTGACATATCGTAATTAATGGTTAGGGGCCCTTCGTTGTTTCTTCATCCTGCTGTTGGTGGACATTTAGGTTGCTTTTGACTTTTTCTATTGTTATAATGCCACTGTGAATATTCTTGTATGTGTCTTCTGATGAACCGAAGTGTTTTAATCTTGGGAATATTCCCAGTAGCTTATGGGGAATGTAAATGCACGACTTTAACAGATGTTATCCAACCATTTCTGCAAGGGGTTGGCAACCTAAGTAACAATTAGGGGCAGAGTCTCTGGGGAATGGTGGCATTTGGTGGAGAATAGCATAGCATTACGGGGGGAAGGTGTGCTCCAGAGTAAACAATGAGCAGCATATTTAAAGAGGTTGGGGCAAGGGAGGCAAACATCAGAAGGCATATACAAGGTGCTCTGTAACAGTGCTCCTTGGCCACAGGATTAGTGCAGATGACAGCAGTCTGAGGCTGAACAATCAGGTGCTGGGCAGATGACCTTGTAGAAGTATTTTTTTGTGTGCAAAGCTGTGGTCCCAGCAGTCTTTTGTGATAGTAACTCTCAGACGATCATGCCTGAGAACTCTTCTTTCACAACCTTTTGACCCTCTCTTTTATCTTGTCAGGGTTTATGAGAGCAACTTCAACTCAATTCTGAGCCCTGTCATAGCATGGTACCAACTTGCACCCTCATCAGCCACAAGAAGACATCCCTGTCATGTCGCACCCTTACCACGGAGGTGTTTCTCTGCCCTGCGCATTTCCAATGTTCTGGTGTGGGTGCAGGTGGCTCGCAGTGACTACTTTGATTTCCTGATGACTAATGGTATCAAGCCCATCGGCATATGCTTACTGGTCATTTTGATTCTTCCTCATTTTAAAAACATCATTTTGCAGTCCTTTTCATCAGGATTTGTAAGAGTCCATTGTATATTCCAACACAAGCCCTCTGGTAGAAGCGCTGATGCAAATATCTTTTCCCTCCTTGTGAATTGCCTTTCGCTCTCTTAACATTTTCTTTTGATGAAAAGAAGTTCTTAACTGCATTACCTTCCAATTTCATCTCTTTCCTTTCATGGTTAGTGCTTTTATCATCCTGTTCAAAAATCTCTGCCTAATTAAAATCATTCCTTTGTTTTTTTAAAATAGACATGAGAGGGTCAAAATTCATTTTCCCACTTAGGGTTTCTGAATGATCCAGAAGTTTTTATTTATTATTATTTTTTACATTTATCTTTGTTTTATTGAAAAGATCCTTTCTTTCATGCCTTGCTGGGCCTAGATGGACTCCTCCCTGAGTCTCCCAGTTCATAAACATAGCATGTCCCTTTATCTATTTAGATTTCTCTAAATTTCAGAAATACTTTGTAGTTTTTCACAGTGCAGTAAGTCTTCTACACTTTCTAATTAAAATCTTATTTTGAGTGTTTTGATATCTTAGTAAATGATATTAAAAAATCTTCATTTTCCATTTACTTTTTTGCTAGCATAGCAATTTTGTATATATATTGCAGCTTGATTTGTATCCTGCATCCTTGCTACATTCACTTTTTCTTTTTTTTTTTCTTTTTTTCTTTTTTTTTTTTTTTGGTACTGGGAATCAAACTCAGGACCTTGCTCTTGCCAGGCAGGCACTTGTGCCACTGAGCTATATCCTCATCTCTTTTTTTGTTTGTTTGTTTTTTTGTTTGTTTTTTGTTTGTTTTTTGGTACCGGGAATTGAACTCATGACCTCACGCCTGCCAGGAAGGAACTGTGCCGCTGAGCTAAATACCCTGCCCCTACATTCACTTCTTAGTTCTAGTAGCTTCGTCCTTGGATTTTCTGCATAATTATGTTGGAAGAGGGAGCAGACCAACCTCAGAATGAATGATTCACTAGGACTCACAGAATCTACCTCCTGCAAAGAAAAACAAAACAAAACCAACAAAGGGGAAAGCCTGGGGAAGACTAGAGCTTCTAAGAGTCTCTTCCAAGGGGATCACCTAGGACTGTACTCACCCAGGACTCTACTGAAGGC